ACACACACACACACACACACACACACACACACACACACACACACACACACACGAAGAATAAAAGGGAATAAGTTGTGATAGCACAATAAAACGAACTGCATGTGTTCAAAGGCAGGGTTGCGTGTAGTTTTGTGGCTTGCTGTCCCTGGTGCTGAGTGCGGCGCTGTCCTTGGTGCTCATTTGAAACGCAGCGTCATCCCCCTCCTCCTCCTCCCCTCTCTGTTTTTCTGTTTTCTCCTCTCTCCTCCGCTAGCCGCGGCGCCAGTAGCTCCTGCGCCGCACTGATTAGTTAGAAAAGAGAGAGAGGGAGAGAGATTGGCAAGCGATGCATGGAGAATCGCGCTCGGGAGAGAAGCACAGACGCCACTTAAAGAGCCACGGACCGTTTTTAATGACTCCACTTCAGCGAGGATTCCACACGAGGCGGAATCTTCATACTTCACTTAACACACCGGAGTGCGCGTGACCGTGGGTGCAAGTATCATAGGTGTATACCTGAGTAACATGTGTACATATGGAAATCAGAGGGGGGTTTAAAGCTTGCTGTAGCCTGCCTAAACCCAAGGAATGGAAACGTGGCTTCTTTTCTGGAGCCCATCCATCCATCCATCCATCCATCCATCCACTTAAGTGTTTAGGTGCCACAGCTCACTGACTGATTCTCTGACTCTATTAAAGGCTGAGGAATTAAAACAATCAAAAACAGAGAGACAGAAAAGTGAGCACAGAGAGTGGGGGGAGAAGGATTACAGATAAATAAATCCATGAACTGATCACCAGAGAGTGCAGTGACAGGTCCTATCATTCTTCTCACTTGCTCTTCCTCTGTGTATCTGTGTGTGTGTGTGTGTGTGTGTGTGTGTCCGAGGCCCTTGCTCGGCTGCGTTATCTCACAAGAAGACTCATTAACATAGAAATGACTTTAGGAAGAGAAGTACAGCGTTTCACCTCTGGTGAGAGACGGAAAGCAGGGAAGCCGAAGAGAGGAAGGAGGGCGGGAAAGGAGATGTCGAAGTGAGTTTGGATGGTGGCTGAGAAGAGAAGTGGAGAGATAAGGAAGAAAAAGAATGAAGGGTGGGCAAAAGGCAATGGAGGAGGCAACAAGTGAGGAAAGGACAGGTGGAAGAAGATGAAGAAAGGATATAGAAAAAGAAATGGTTGAATGGTGACATGTTGATGCAATCAGTTTACAGAATACAAGCAGCATTTTTCAGTAGATGAAATGTTCTTGTTTTTTGAGTAGAGCATGAAAGTTATAGAGCCAAAGTCCGACCAGTGGCACAGCGAGGGAACATTTTGTGCAGCCTGCAAGCGTGTCAAGAAAAGATGAAACACCAACAGTTTGTGTCATTCTATAAAGCAGCACAGAGAAAGACTGAGGGAGCATTTCTCTTCAGTTTCAGATCTTCTTTCTATCCATCATACATGGCTAACCCTTCCTAACATTAACACATGGAGCTGGTGTCAACAAACACTGCCTCACTGATGGTTAAAAACGGTAAACTCAAGGCAGCACAAGATTCTCTGGGCAGGTTACGAACGCTACCTACAATTTTTCGGATGTTTGCATTTTTCTTGTTCACATGAGCCCAAACTTTGAGACCCCCCCCCCCCTCCCATTGCAGAGAGTTGACTTTTAGATACCCATTCGTTCATTTTCTTCTGCTTATGGAGTTCAACAGGGGTTAGCTGTCATAGGGCGAGGGGCAGGGTACACCCAGGAGAGGTTGCCTGTGGATCTACCAGCTCCACACAGAGACAGACAATCACGAACATGCCCAGGACCTTCTTGTGACAAGGTTAACCACTGCACCCCTGAGCCACTCTCTTGGGTATATATTTTATTTAAAAAGGTTACTGACAGAATGCAGCATTGGCAACATGTATATAAAATATACTTTCAGGTTTCCTACTCTGTGGTCATGAGGTATAGGTAAGGTAAGTATATTTTATATAGAGAGGTACTACTACTAAGAATTAAACACTGCAGTTGTGATATATTTATCACAGCAGGCACGTGTTTTATAAATATCGACAACAGTAAATCTTAGGTTTCTTTCAGGATGTCGGCAGAAACACTAAAAAACTGCAGTCAGATTTCTTACCATGAGTAATGCAGATTGTTGTAAGATCAGCATCACTTTGTGGCTTAATTTCCTCTCTTAAAACCCTTTTGCTCTCTTAGATATGGCATAAAGTGCAGACTACTGACAGGAACTTTTTATAACGACAAACTATTAACTTCTAACCAAAGTGTGATTACAGTGATGGTGTTGGTAGGCAGCAGAGAGAGACAGGACTCGAGGAGGCCCTTGTGGAGAAAGGCATTTGGGACATGACGTTAGCAATCACCAAAATGTCCTATGTTTGCCCTTTCTCTGTCATTGGGAGAGCGGTTTCTGCTCTCTTTTTCTCTCCTCTCCTCAGTTATTGGCAATGCAACAGAAGGATGAGGATAGAGAGATGGGGAGGTTCTTGAAGCGGGGAGGAGGAGGAAGACTGCAGGGCTTCTGCTTGGTGAGCTGGAACCTTCTCACACCTCTGGCCAGTGTTCAGAGATTAGGAGGAGGAGGAAGAAGTTAGAGGAAACTGAAAACCACAGAGAAATTAGAGAGCAAAAGATAAGCTGTTTGGAGGAAGAGAAACGTGCCGTAAGGAGGGTGAGCTGGATAGATTTACAGATGGGGAGTGTGGGGCAGCTAGTGGTGATGTTGCATTTTTGTGTGACTGTGCTCGTATATTTAATGATGTATAAAAGTGAGTGCGTTGGAGAGAAATCAGAGTTTTTCAGATGTGTGTGTTGCCTCTGGCACGGCCAGAGTTCAGTCTTCTGTACGTTGTAGGTCTTCAAATGTGAAGTAATCATTCATTTCTGGGTGATTGTAATGTGCATGACAAACACTTTTTTTCATTGTCACATGAAAAGTGTTTCTAATGAGTTCTAATGTTTCCTTTATGTAATTCATGGTGCAGGGACATGGATGTTAGCTTGAAGAGTTTAGTTTATGCTACAGTCACACTGGCGAAGACAGTGGCTAGAGACCATGGCATCACCAAAATTACGGCAATCGTTTGCAGTCTCCACTCGCTGTCACCTGGTGTCTTCAAGATGTGTCGAGATGGTGATACAGCAGCAATAAGATGAAAGCAGTCTGCTACCAATTTGGGTCAAGCTGGCAATTACATGCAATCTGTTCGTGCTAATAATTGTAACTGTGATAGAGCAGCGAAATTTGCAAACCTGTTGCCGTCTACTTGTTTAAATATTTATTGCAGTGGAGTCAGGATCTTGATGCTAGTGGCCTTGGAGCTCTGGAGGGGTCCCCATCACGTCGTTCGTCTCTACATTACCCCATGCAGGGTGCAAATTACTTAAAAAAAAAAAAAAAATCAGTGGAAGTGAATTAAGCAGAGGTGTTATCCATTAATTTGGGACCGCTCGCAGGCTGACTCCAGTTGATTGCAATGAGTTGGTCTGTCTGCATTTGTAAAGTATTTGCAATTATTTTAAATTCTTCTGTCTGAATGAAATCAGTCCAAGTCGGATGGCAACTTTTTCCTAGACGTGTTGCTTCTCAATGTGTAATTGTCTTGTAATTGAAAGTAGTTGCCCAGAGGTTGATGGTCTTTCATGATGAACATCTGGGCAACCAGGAACTACTTAATGTCAGTCTCCCAACACCAAAATACTTAAAAGCAACCACTGGTTTTTCCTAGCTGTCTTATTTTTCCTATAAGTGTGACTGAGGCTTTAAAGACTTGGTTTAAAGTTATGAGCAAACAGGAAAACAGGTCAGTGAATGTCTCATAAAGATATGGGAACATGACTGTGTGTGTGTGTGTGTCAGATTAGGTAAAAACATAACAGACTTTGACATTGATTGAGTAAGAATGAGGTGTGGTGTGAATGAAATAGAGAAACAGAGAAACAGAGGGACACTTTAGCTGGGAAGAAACATGTCTGATGGTGTGAAGGTGTGCCTAATATGGTTGCCTAATGAAAACGTCTGTGCGGCTGTATGAGAGAGAGAGAGAGTGAGAGATGGTAGAAGAGAGGGCAAGAAAGGAGATAGGGTGAAATAAATCCAATAAGCTCCTCTGTCATGCTACCCTCTTGAGCGTTTTAAAGAGCCACTGAATGAAAAAATAAGAGAATCTTTTGCTTTTGTCAGTTTTCCTTTTTCATCTCTCGTCAGTCTGCTGCAGAGAGCGTCGTTTTTACCTCAAAACTCCCCCATCATCTTTTTTTCTTTTTCATTCAGCAATAGCATGTAGCTTCCTCGCTTCAGCATGCTCTGAAAGGCACAGAGTTAAAATGCATATACCAAAATCAGTGCTTCCTCTGTCACTGCCTTGGGGCAGGCTCCAATCAACACCCCGCTCTCTCACCATTGCAAGCCTAAGGGGAACAAACAAACAAACAAATAAACAGTTATTGAGTCTAATTTTATGTTCCCTTGTTTGAAAGTGTGAAAGCCTCTGCTGCACTTTACACTTATTTATGGTCGCTCCAGTTTCTGTCGTAGTTCATGCTGCCAGTGTGTTTGCATATGTATGCCTATATGCATTTAGCATACAGTGATTTTAATGATTTTTTAAAACATGTCTTCAGGGAAGGTTCATGTTTGGCATGACATAATTTACTTTTGCAGTTCTCTCTGTGTGCTCTCATATAGAACAAATGCTTATTTCACTTTCAGTTTATTCACAAAATGCAGTCACAATCATGATTATGCATAAAGTATTCACTTGTTAAATGGGAGCCTCTTCTGTATAGGGGCCCAGAGATCAAAGAACAAATGACTTGCAATTGAATACAAATAAAATTTCTAACCTGAATCCTTCACCCTATTAACCATCCATCCATTAACCTTCTTCTTATTATCCAGTTCAGCATCATCCGGAAGGCGGAGCCTAGCCCAGCTGTCACTAGCCAGCATGGAGGGTACACAGGTGGCCAGTCTGTTGCAGGATTAATGCATAGAGACAGACAACCATTCACAACCCCACGCACATCTTTTGACTGAAGGAGGAAGCTTGAGTACTCCGAGGGGACCCATACAGACATGTGGCCAACATGCAAACTCCCATGCAAAGCATGAATCCCCAGTCCGGATTCAGACATGCAAACTCAGCACCATTGTGCAAAAGTAGCCTAAAATTACTCTAAAGACCCTCAAAGTATATCATAGTACATCTAGACAGTGGCACATAGAGAATAACTGTCACGGGCTGCGGAGGCAGACCATGTGTGGGTTTGTGTTGAGGACCCAGGAGCAGACAGAGGCGAGGAGATGGAACCTGAGAACCAAAAACGAGCCTTTATTTGGCTGGTAGCAGGAACTGAATATGAAAACTAAGGAAACTAAGAGCAACCATGAAAAACTGACTACTAAGACCTGAACTATGACAACACACTGTGGCAATAAACTATGACCAAAAATGGGGTGGGTAACACAGACAACGCAACGTTAAACACACGGAGGCTGAGGACTTAGATACACACATGGGGTGATCAGGAGACGTGGAGACACAGCTGACTCGAATGAAACATAATGACAACGCAGGGGAGAGTAACACTGCACACACTAACACGAGACACGGACCTTCAAAGTAAAACCAGAAACATGACAGACACTGAACTAAACCTAAGAACAAAACTCTTAACCAGAATAACACTGAAACTGAGGATTATAATATTCAAAACAGGACAACTAAAGAATCAGAAAGTAAACCATAATACAGAATAAACAGCAAAATACAAGTAACTGAAAATGCTGGGTCAAAATGACCCAGAACCGTGACAATAACAGTATATATTAAGAGCATGAATTTCAAATAGAAATCTACATTATTTTTAAAACATTTGGACTGTTTGGAAATGTGCTATATAAATAAACTTGACCATGAACTATTGAACATACTGTAGTTGCAACTTCTGTCCTGTGGCTAATCTGTGGAGCTGCACAGGTCAAACTAAAATTTGGATATTTAAGTTCCTGTTTTTTTGCCTTTTGTTGTACTTGAGAGGGAAACTACACGGAGATAAGGTCAAAAGTCTATCACTGATTCTATATATACAACAGTATATGTTGCACAGACATTTAGAAAGGTCCAGTATTCAGTTTATCCTCATATGTAATTTTAAATCCATGTCCTACTTGTTCTTCTTCTGGGCTTTTTTTTTTTTACCCTTTATCTTCATATTTGTTCATCAGTTTTCCTTCAAATAAAATATTAATCACTGTTATATTAATATTGACATTATGAGCACATATACGTGGTGCCTTCAGAGGTGTTTGTCTATACCCGTTTGCTGAAAGCCATTAAAAAGTATGCATAATGATAAAGACACATTTTGCATTTGCTGTACAAAATATTATGAAGAGATACCTCGTTAATTTCTGCACATTCTTACAGATTTACTACGGTAATAAAAAGGTTTTCTAAACTCCTGTGGCATTTTGCATCGTTTCAGATTAATTAATGGTTGTTATCAGTTCTTAAAAAATAAAAGATTTTGAAATCAAATTTCATCATTAACACAACAGCCTATGAACTGTTGATATATTGATGGCAAAGTTTAACCAGTGATTTGACCTGTATGCAACAGCTTGTGATGCTATAACTGCTCCACTTACTTTTTTTTTTTTATCATATTTTCACAGTGAGAATATAACAGATGATCTAGAAAAAAGAAAGACATTCAAAACAAAACAGACCAAAAACAAGGAAACAAGCCAACATGTGATTTTGCAACATAATTTATTACTTTACAACCGCAAACATCACAAAACATTATTATTATTATTATTATTATTATTATTGTTGTTATTATTATTAAATCAGTGAACTATCTTATCTCATAAAACACATCCTTACTCTTTTCTTGCAGTTTTCTGCATTTAAACACTGAAAATTATCTTCAGGTTATTGTTAAATCACTTGTTGTTTAGAATGTAAGCCCAGCCTAAATCAAAGCAGAAGTAAGGTCAAAATGCAGCCATCAAATGTTAATTAAACCTTAGCAGCAGCTCCTCGGTTGTTATGTTTAGTGTCATGTAGCCTTTGAAAGGCTACAAACCGTAAGAGAGAAGGGTAAAGGGGAAGAGAACGGGACCAATCAGGGATAATGAGAGGCAAATGAAACTGAAATGCCTCGAGAAGACGAGGGAAGAAGCAAGGGAAAAAGCTGCAGGAAGGGATAAAGGTCAAGAGGAAAGGAACGAAGAAAGAGAAAGACAACGAGGAAGCTGAGTGGGAGAGGAAGAGAGGAAGAAGGGGAGAGAAAGGTCAGAGCAGAAAATAAAATGACAGATGGAAAGGCGTGATCAAAGGAAAGGTCGGGAGGAGAGACAGGAGGGAAGGACACTTTCAGGCCAATACAGTCCACATACGAGTGGCAGAGCACTAAACATCTAGATCTTGCTGGATTTCAGTCAGCACAGATGTATATTTATATCTAGTTTTCGCTCCATGTTTTCTATTGCAACTTACATACATCATTTTTACCCCTAAACACATTGATTTCTGAGTATAAATACAACTATGGAAATGGAAGACTCTTACCCCTATGTACTTCAAAAATATTTATATCTGTACAAATAAAAGCAAAACACAGTCTTTCAATAATATTCAGTAAATGTGCAGCAATGACATGAGACATATCATAAATTAAGCGACATAAAAACCCTTTTACTGTCTAATAAAGAAACTATCACACACATACCCACACACACCAGTCCAACACTTAATATAGAATAAGTCCATATCATATGGAACAAGATATGAAAAAGAGAGATCGTCACATGCATGCATAGTATACTTCCTCATAGTCCTGTAATTTTTTTTTAAAATGTGAAACATATCTGCTAGCTTCTTAAACCAGCTTGTGCGTGTGTTACGGTCATTTTTTCATGTTGGCGCTGTTTAGTCAAACGACGCTGAAGCTGAAGAGAACATTTCTTATCAGATTTAAAGACAGACCTATATTAAAACTGAGCAGCGCTTAAGATATCTGAGTCACACGCATGTAGTGTGCCGTGCTCACTCATTAACTCGGCCATACAAATTCACAAGACAGCTGGCTGAGTGCTATCGAGCGCTTTGGGGTGTGGGGTTGTCAACAGCAGATGCTGAGACTGGGCGTGATTAATATTAGGAGATATTTACACCCTTGACCAGAGAAATATATGGCTGACACACAAAGGGCAGTTGTTGTTTTTTTTTAAATTTTACATTATACAGCAAAGAAGCAAAACATAAGGACGGCAGAGTAAAGTTTCACCAAAGCTCGAAGATGCTGTGTGCACGTTATTGAAGACACTACAGGCGTGCGTCCTTTCATGAAGATGCTGTTTGTGCTGATTAAAGCAGCAGGAGAAGGAGGAGGATGGGAATCTAGGCCTGTGCAACGGACCTACAGTATATGTCTTGTGTGCCTCCAGGTGCAAACATTTCTTAGTCATTGTCCGCCTTGTTACGCTTCACCTAGTAATTCCAACCCTCAGTCGAGGATCTGACTGTATGGCTAAGTGGGTGTACACAGGTATGGGTGCTTGTGTGTGTGTGTGACCCAAAATACATACATGTAATTCTGTCTGTCACACACACACACACACACACACACACTCACGTACATATATTCTAATATATGGATGACTGTCAAGAAATGCACACATACACAAATAAATTACAGGCAGGTGGTTTAAATTAAAATAAAAAAAATAAATGAAAAAGCAGCATTGCTTTTTTATTATTGCTGTTTGTGAAATGACTCCCTTGGAGGCTGTCAAAGCAGCTCAGCGTTCACCGTCTGCGCACGTGTGGATGCCCCACTGGTGACTGCTGCATTGCCAACTCCTGCGACGACTCATCGCACCAGGCTCCCACTGAAGCCCTGGCAGACGTACGGGCTAGAGCCAAAACAATTCTGATAATAATAAGAGAGGCATCAGAGGGGCGGATGGAGGGTGAAAAGGAGGAAATAGAGGAAAAAGAAAAAGAGGGGGTAAAAAAAAAAAACCCTAAAAAGGCTGTGAAGCTCGCTCAGTGTGAGACGCTAAGCCTCATGAGAGTGGGATGGGAACAATGGCCCAGTGGAAGTGGTTGGCGGTACTGCTCGCGGTGTGTGTCAGGATGAATGCAGAGGATACGGTTGATATTACGAAATGCAGATGTGCATACAGTTCAAGAAGTTAGAAAGTTTTACTCCTATACAATTTTTACAAAGACACAAGAGTAACAACATTAGAATATATATAAAACTTTACATTGCTAACACCGTGACACGCCAGTTATGTTGTAAAAACATTCATAAACACCAAATCTACATTCCAGTGTGCTTCGTAGGTCTTGGTCCCATTTTACTGTGCATGACAGGGATCCAGAGTTAAACCTGGAACTATCAGCGCTCATCGATGGCGGCCAATTTAGCAATGCCAGGAAAATATGAGCCTGGATTTGCGCGATGGTGCTTTGTAGATGTCACAATGATGCTGTGAAACTTGTGGGATAACACAAGGGAACATAACGCAATACTTCACTTTAAGAATACTAAGAGCGGTGAAAGGCTTGTTGCAGATACAATGCCATAAACACATCAGGAATTCTATCGTTGAATAAAGAAAGAGTGAGCTGACACGAGTGAAGCGGTAAGCTTGTGCTTCTCTACACTGAATAAAACTGGTTGGATTAATGCGGTTGATATTTTCTCTTGTTCCTGCCCTGCACAAAAAGCAGATGTTGACACCTCGGACATTTTTGATTCAATACTTCAACGTCTTTGGTATCCAGTGTTTGGTGCTGTGATTCCTGTTTTGGGCTGCAATCTTGGAGATACCCCAGTATGGCCTAAAAGAACTACAGACATTTACTGAACATACACATTTACTGCTTTGAAACCTCCTCTATCGGTCCATCGGTGTTAATTAGCGGGGGCCACGTATTCCGGGTTGATGTAGGAAAAGCCGAGGAAATCGTCCTGGTCCAGGTTCATGATGACGAGCTTGTCTGTTGGCGTCAAGTCCACAGCCATCTTGGTGAACTCCTTGTCAAAGTTGCAGGTGTCCCGACGGTTCCTCTGCAGGTGGGGTTCAGAGATTATGAAGGGGAGAGGATGTGATGAGAGGGAGGAACGACAGAAAAAATATTGTTGGAGGAGAGTGGGATGGATTGGGATGGAAAAGAGAATCCACTGCTGTTAAACACCCTATAGCGGACAATCAACTTAAAGCACAAGCTCTTTTGAACTAAAGAAACTGCAATATTGTTCAGTTTCTGTACTGTGATGGTGCAACGAACAAATGATTAGGAAGCGCTTCCCTTTCGTACCCGAGGTCAAATTAATCCTGTTCACTCTCATGTCTGTCTGTCTTCCTCTGTTTCAAGTCTCTATGCTTATTGCTCAGCCACAATACAGTAAAAATAGGACATCGGCCTCCTTGCAACTAGGAAAAAATCGGTGTTTCCCCGGTGAAAGCTTTGGTGTTGGAGACTGATTATAAGATGGTACATAGTGTACAACACTGCCAACCTCTGCATAGTTACTTTCAATTGCAAGGTGATTGGACAGCTCGCACGCGTGGGCTAACTCAAACTGACTGCAGTCACTCTCATACAGCTATGCAAATTGTTACGAGCACCAATCAATGGCCAAGAGTAAGCATATGTATGCAAATGTGCTGTTTATAGGGTTGGGAAACCTGCAGTCAGCTGAGAATGAAGACTTTATCACAGCTGATTGCGATATCATGACGAACTTTTGCAGGTAATTGTCAGCTTGACCCAATTCAATCGCCAACGGAAAGCAGAGGATCTGTCTTTTTGCACTTTTATTGTCAAGGTGCTTTGAAGATGGCAACTGACTTTGAATGGACACAAACCTGGTCCTCAAAGTCTTCAAAGCAATTATTTCAAAGGCAAGTTCAGTGCACACAGAAGCAGTAATTTTGGTTATGCCACTAGCATGAGCCTGTAGAATGAGTCAGGTTACTTTGCTGTTTGCAGAAAGTTTATCTTTACTGCACACAGGTGAATTGTATCAATTCTTATTTAAATTTTTTTATTTCCAAAACCTGTACTTGCTTTTTTTCCTTTTTTGGCTTACAAATGAGAAACAACACAGAACACAAGAAACAGCATCAAATGTGCTTGAACTGATAACCAGAGACTGTTCATTCAAAACCCACAAAACTCTGGTATTTTCTTTACATTTGTAGATCAAAGTGGATACCCTAAAAAATTTGCTGTCTGCCTCTCACAGTGGAAATGTTGATGCTAGTGATCCCTGAAATGAAACCACCTGCTGCGGCACAAAATCCTGTGTGCAGTCACATGGTATGTTAGGAAAAACTCACCTGAACATCTAATCTTTCCAGTTAAGTTTCACTATCTAAAGTATTTAAACTTTATTATTAAATGTTAAGAAGAATGTGAATGTTGCCCCACAAGAATACAGAAGACCTTCTTGACCTTCATCTAAGAAAAGGCGTTGTAGCTGGTTGGACTTGCTAAGCCTTGAAAATAAGAAACATCTCTCTTTTTTCAGCACTGAACAAAACAGAACATTGGTGTATTCAGTCCATTTGCATTGCACAGAAAGTTTTTGGATGAAGCACAGCACCCCCACTTCCCTTCCTTTAGGGCTTTTCCAATCTTCATGTAATAACATTTTGCTAGTAAACACACAAGTGCAAGTAGAAAGAAAAGTTGAGTCTGGACTTAAACATGTGGAAAATAATCAGTTAGAACAAACGTGAGTCAGGCTGTTCATAAGGAAATAGGATATTAGGAGATCAAGCCATTTTCAGTGTATTTATGGATATGCTGGGAAACTGCATACAGTAAAGGAGAGCTGCAGAGAGGAGTGAGTGCTGAGAGGTGCTAAGCAAAGAGAGGAAAGAGACAAACTTGAGGGGGTCGAGTACACCAACTGTGACTTTCTGCAGGAGGTGAGGGATCCTGGGTGGAGGAACTCGTAGTAAAGCAGGAGGGGCTTTCTCTGAGGCAGAGGCTCACTAACACACAACCTGGCTCATTTTTTATGTATAGATTTATGAAAGGCAACATCAAGCTTCACCGCTGGCAAGTATGTTCCCCAAAGAAATAGAAGTAAAGACGGAACCAGAACAGCACAAACTTTAAAATGATCTCCAGTGTGGCCATTTCCATCTTTAATCAAAAGCAAAGACACCTTAGGCTGATTTCTATAACGCAGATATCACATTGTGTTTCACCTGCTCTTTATCAGCTTTTAACTTTTTCTAATTATGAGTCCTACTTACTGTCACTCCCTGGGTCTCACGTCGCCAGATCATTTACATAAGTGTGAAAACTTTGCATGCCTTCATCAGGCACCGTTCTTCGACGTTATCACATACTTAAAACGCAAACTTTGATGAGCTAATTCACAAATAATATGCTATATAATAATATGGAAAATATATATTCACTGGCCATTTCATTAAATATGTTTGTTCAAGTGCTCTTTAACACATATGTAATCAAACCTGACCGCTTTGAGCTGAAAGGAGGATGACGCTACTTCAAATAGCCACTTGTTACAACCAAAGTATGCAGAACAGCATCTCTGAACACACAACACATCCAACCTTGAAGCAGATGTGGTACAGCGGCAGAAGACCACATCCAGTGCCACTTTCATCAGCTAAGAACAGGGCATTGAGGCTATAATTGGCACAAGCTCACCAAAATTGGACAATACAAGACTGAAAATCGTTGCCAGGTCTGATAACTCTTGATTTCAGCTACATCATGGGTCAGAATTTAGTGTGAGCACCCTTCCAGTCTACCTGAGTATTGTTACTGACATGTCCATCCCTTTATGGCCACAGTGTACCCATCTTTTGATGGCTGCTTCCAGCTCAAGCTGGTTAACCTCAAGCAGGTTTCTGTATTTCATTTGAGTTCAGTGAACTCAAATGGCCTCTACAGTCATCAGATCTCAATCCTGTAGACTGAAATCTGATGACTCCTTTGTGATGTGGTCGCTGAATGTACTTTTAAATGCACCTGGAGTTGGCAAAAAAATGACCAGAATATAGTCAGTGTTTAAGACGTAATATTAAAAAGCCATAGAGTCACAGTGGGATGAAGTGAAGAGCAAAGAAGGAGAGAAGAAAAAATAAAATCAAGCAGTTACATAAATATTCACATCACCAGGAAAGCAGCGGTAGCGGGGAAGAGCTTATAAGAGGCAATCCACAGAAAAATCCACAATCATAAATATTTTGATTAAAAAGACAGCAAGCGATTTATCAAATACAGCCATAAAGTCAACAGTGTGAGGATCTATCAGCATGTAAGTCTGAAAAACACAAATAAATGAAGACACAGTGGCAACGTGAAAAGGAAGAGAAAAAGAGACAGGGTTAGGCGGAGAGGACTGCTGGCTTTCTAGGCTATTTAAAAATCAGTCTTCAGTTTTCAGACCCTTCTTCTGTGGAACCAGCTCCCAGTTTGGATTTGGGAGACCGACACCCTCTCTACTTTTAAGACTAGACTTAAAACTTTTCTTTTTGATAAAGCTTATAGTTAGGGCTGGATCAGGTGACCCTGAATCCTCCCTTAGGCCTAGGCTGCTGGACGCTTCCCATGATGCACTGAGTGTTTCGTCTGCACTCATCTGTCTTCACTCTATATGTGTTTATGCAAGACTCTGCATTTAAACATTAATTATTATTAATCTCTGACTATTCTATAGCATGTCTTTAGCCTTGTGTCCTCCCCTCTAAACCAAATAGTCACAGCAGATGGCTGGCCCTTCCTGAGCTTGTTCTGCCATAGGTTCCTTCCTGTTAAAAAGGAGTTTTTCTTTCCCGCTGTTACCAAGTTCTTGCTCATAAGGCGGTCATCTGATTATTGTAGGCTCTGGAGAGACTGTTGTTGTGATTTGGTGATATATAAATAGAATTGAATTAAATAAGAGTGGAACCAATATTTATAAAGGGTGAAAGTTGATACAAGATGGTGGAGGAAGAATGAAGAAGGAGTACAGAGAGGGACAGGAGGGCCTTTAACACAGGGGAAACTACAAATAAGTGTTACATACCTTTATCTTCCAGCTTTCTCATGGCCTAAGATAAGCTCCCTCTAGCTACAGGGACACACCTGCCACAGTTGGCTGAGGTCCACCTCACGTTCCTGGCTTTTATACCCACTGGAGTGTCTCCTCTCAGGAGAGGCCTGCACTCCTGGTGGGTACAAAACCCATACAGAGCACGTGTGTTTTGCTCTCCAAGTAGAATATCCGATGGCGAGATTAAGTTTTATCTAACCCTCATTCCACACTCAATACATACTACTGTGAGGTTAAGCACTGTTACAGTCCTAAAAGGTGTATTCAGAGTTATAGCAAACAGCTTAAAACAATGAATTGAAAGTTTTTGCAAAGGACATCTAGAACAGTGTACCTAGAGCACTTTATGTGCACTCATGTTAATGGGAAAGCTGCTAATCTCAAATTAAATGAGGTCATATCTCTAAAACATACGAGCTAATTTCAACAAATATTTAATCTATAGTAGTACCAAAACTTCCACTGTATGTGATCATCCTGATCATATTTGATCTACAGGTACCACTTGTTTTTAAGTTTTATTATATTCAAGTACAAATAAAAATGTATTTTAGTCCACTGGATAAAATGGTCCAGAGTTGAACATATCCAGCTACCTCTTTGTTATTAAACCCCTCCTCCTGCTGCAATTTACATCAGTGATCATAGACTGGAGCATATCACTGTGATGAAGCTAACATGATGTGCTAGTTTGAGACATATATCTGCAAGAGATTTCAGTTTGCTCATGTGAAAGAGGAGTCTTTCACAGAAAGGTTAGACATGGAGTTCCACAGGGCTCTTAACTCGGCCCAATATATATTACCTTGTTAATGTATCTTCTCTATCATAGAGACTTCTCCCATATTAGTTTCTCTTCACTGCTTGCATTTAAAATCAAATGGAATTTGAAACCCACCCACCCAGCTATTTTTGCATTTATAGAGAACTGAAGTTACTACATTTAGAGTATATATATATATATATATACTATATATATATAT